TATCTTTTGATATCTGTGCACCATCAGCTTTCTTCACCACATTTGCTTATGCACACATTTGACTTCATTGATCATGTAGGAAGGTGGGTATCATGGAATGACCGTTTACTTGAGCAAAATGTTCTTGTATCGAGGGAGTACATGAGTGGAAGCACAATGTCCATCAGAAATTGCAGAATTTTTGTAAAAAGTGCCTTTTAGGGTCCTAAAGATCCTGATAATCTTTCATTATATTTTTCTCTAAAATTAGGGTATGCCAGCAAAACCTCTTTCAAAATTATGTTCTAGTCCCCCACAAACATGCATATAAATGTGTATATGTATATACTAACCCACATATGTGCATAAGAAATTAAAATATATCTGGAAAGTTATTTTTTAACAGTGTCATGCAAATCATGGAAATTACTTTTAAGTACTCAAAAGGTCCCTGGGTTGTAGCTTTATGATATGTCATATAGCCTCTCAAACAAGACAGTAGCATGTATATATGTTACTGGAATTAGGCTCTTGTCTTTGCCAAGAGAAAGATTTACTCTGGCTAGACATACAGGCTATCTTGGAGAAGCTCGTAAGAGAGTGTAGCTGTTTAACCCATACTGACAACGTATCATCTGTCTGACCTGTGCATATATACCTGTCTTTTAAAGGTTTCCAACAGGCAAGACTCTCAGAACTTCAGTCCAAGCATACTCTATGCCCAGTAGATGGAATCCGGTAGCAAGACATTCTAGTCCCCATGGCAAAAGGAAGTCCACCAGCTGGCTCTAGTTCTGTGTGAAGTAACTTAAAGATTTCCTTATGAGAGGGCATATACAGGGGAGCATGTCTTGCCTTTGACTCTGCTCCAGCTGTGTACTCTCACTTCCCTCCCTCTTCTCTAATCCCATAAATAATTATTTGTACAAAATCTCTCAGGTCTTTCCTTCCTCCTTATATGGGGCATAAGAATCACCTGTCTATATGCATACAGCACTTTCTTAATTGGCTCCTCCTTCAGGGGAGCAAGCTCTTGCAAGTGAAGATGTGGTTGATCTGGGGCTGTAAGGCATTCGCAGGCATCAGCCTGTTAGTGGTCTTTAGTCTTTACTTTGGGCATGTGCAATATAAATATGTGGGGCTGAGGGAATAGATCCTTCTTCTACTACCATCTTCAACTCTGCAGCCTGGGTTTCCTCAGGATCCACTGGATCTATTATTTTGGAAAATCCTGCAGCAGCCACACTAGAGCTGGAATGAGGGGAAATTCTCAAAGTTATAATGAAGAGTCCAAAAAAAAAAGAGGGGTGGGAACCAAATTGACAGCCCATCAATGTTGTCTGCCCCCAAACAATAACAGATTAGCAGGACAAATCACTAAAGGTTCCCCCCACATGCACGCACCCTTGAAGATTCTTAATTTTAAGTTTTATGGTAATTATGGCCAGGAAGGGGTTTGTTGGTCTAGCAGGCCAGAATAAAAGACAAAGCATGGTAACTCTTTTTCTTACATGTCCGAATTCTGAGGACACTTTTAGGAAATGTTTTCTAATGTTTTCCATGTGGACACACACATTTCACATAGCTATTTGACATATCCTCTATATGTCTCTGTAAACATACAAGTTCCCTCTGTTTTTCTAGGATTTGGCCTGATTTCGTTTGTAGTTTAGTGGTTAGAAATATGTGTGTAGAGTACTCAAGATGGTATCTGGACCCCTTCAAGCATAGGATGGGCTTCAGGTTTCTACAGAACCCTCACTCACTCATAGGAGCCCTATGTAGGATGGGGTAGAACTGCCTCTGAGACTTTCTGAGACTGTAACTGTTTACAAGAGTAGAGAGCCCTGTCTTTCTCCCTCGGAAAGGCTGGTGGTTTCAAACTGCCAACCTTGCAGATTGCAGCCCAACATGTAACCACTACGCCACCAGGGCTCCATTTCTACGTAACAAGTGGCTTTTGATGTCTGACACTATTGCATTTCCTCCTCTTGCTTAGAGGTTGAAGGACACGCACTGATCATTAACCTGGGCTTAGCCGAAATCCCAAGATGGCAACCAAGGCAGTCTCTTTACACTCATGGTGCAGTTTTTCTACCATCTGGTCCCTTCGCCAGTGTTTAGATGTCAGTGAGGTCTACAGGAAACACCTACAGTGCTGATCGGAACTTAGGTTCATCATCTTGATCCGAGCCCCTTTTTCCTCTACTGCACGTGAGGCATCAGGGAAAACTAATATTATGAGTGTAATGTCAAGCTAAATCATTACAGTCCCTTATAAAACTGGCCTAGCTTATGTGCCTATTACTGATGTAGCAACTCAAATAAGTCTGGTGCCTGTGAGGCGGGTATTGCATGGAGCCATCTAGCCTGTTGTCTAATTTTGTGTACATCCTGTTCTACCTTCTCTGTGTTCATTACCTATGTGGAGCAATGAGTGTTAGCTAAACCGTCTTCCTCTTGGTGGGACAATAAAAACAAATTCAAAACTGCTGTTGTCGAGGGATACTTTGGCCAAAGAATTTAAGGATCAGTGCTACACTCCCATCTCCTCAGTACCTTCTGCTTTTTGTCCCATGATGACTGATAAGCTTCTCAAAGAATGCTCCAATTCAACCATTCCCACTAACTAGGAATTATATATAGTTTTAAGAACTGATTAACCCCAACCTGAGTATTAGACTAAGGAGTTTCCTCCTGACTCTCATTCTACAGCATACAATGTTTTGACATCAGCCTTCCAATATTTGCTTATTTCTTTACTTTGAATAAGGGGTGCTTGTGGTGTAGTGGTTATGAGTTAGGCTGCAATCTGCATGGTTGGCAGTTTGAAACCACCAGCAGCTCCACAGGAGAAAGACTGGGCTTTCTACTCCCATTAACAATTACAGTCTCAGAAACTCAGAGCGGGCCATTTGTGTCTTCATCATTGGCTAGATGACAGTGAATTTGGAGGGTTTGTTGTTTGTTTGTTTGTTTTTACTTTGAATATCCAAAGGTAAGACAGAATTCTCAAAATACCCTTGTGCAGATATTCAACAAGAGATTTCCATCTGTAAGTTTGCTGTTAATAGAAGCGGTATCATTTAAACTGGTGTGACTAGACCCACCACACTGGAAGACACACTCCTAAGGGACATATAACTCAGCTGGAGGAGTCAGAGGAGATAGAAGACTGTGCATGGGACAGCTAGGTCCCATTAAGGAATTATGACAGACAAACTTGTGAACTCTACAGCTTGTGTAATTCTACATTGGGGGGATTGTCCCAACATTCGTTATGATCAACATGAAGTGAGGGTGACAGATTTTGGGCTGAGGTTTCAGCCAGTTTGCCATAGCCTTCTCCATACCCTGCACTGGAACCCCATGGAAAGCCTGGTCCATTGCCACAAGACACTGCTTTTCTGACAAAGCAAATAAAGATGCTTTGAGTAACTGGGTGTCACAGAGTAACCTTAATTGTATGATGAAAAAGCTTGCAAAAGTTTAAAGTGGGAGATGGAATTAAATAGTTTCTCTAAGGGTTCTTGTGGCAAACCCAACACTGCATTTAATTACCAACACCTGCCATGGACAGGTGGCAGTCTAGTGAAATCATTCTTGGTCCTCGATCCCCCTAAAAGGCAAAAGGTAACTAGATGAGCAACGAACATAATTTCAGATTACACTCTATCAAAATGGATTAACTGAAAGATGTAACCAGTAACACACGTGGGGATAATCAAGTTGTGCTTGCAGGTGAGTCACTTGTTGGAGGGGAGGTTGATTGGCAATTGATTCAGGAAGGTGCCAGAATTTCCGGTTCGGTTCTCTAGCTGATTTAGTCACCCAATCAGAAATGTTGGTCTTCTTCACCTGGGAAAGCTGACAGAGGCCCCCTATGTGCAGACTGTACAGAAGGGTTGTGCCCCCTAAGTTTGTAGTGCATTACACTGTTTGCACTCGTTCACTAAGGCAAAACAATCGGTAGGATCTAGGACAGAAGATAATGAGCAAAGATGTAACAGGAAGTGACACATGTGTGGTTCACCTAGCTTGCCAATTATTAGGCAACCTTAGAAGCAATAGAAATCCAAACAGAGTCCAATGACTTCAAGGATTTGGGGCATATCCTTGTTTCTGCCTGTACGCAGTGCAGCTTTAAATTTAAGGAAGTAGTTTAGCTCCCTTAATCTGCAGAGAGTGGGTTTAATGCTAAACAGGCAAAGTTCCATTTAATGTTTTTCTTGGGGGCAGAAAAACATTTCCCTCAATTTTCTCAAAACTTATTAGAAATAGCGGTAGGGCTGTTGAATGTCTGCCTAACTTTGGTCATTTCTTTCTGATGTCTAGGGCATAAAATTGAGTCATAAACTTCTCTTTTAGCACTCCCTTTCCCATGGGATTCTCAAGATTCATATCACTATGTTTTAATATAGAATTTTGTAGCTAGCCTTTTTTAAAAGGCTGTCATATTTTCTTTTTACCTCGATCAGTAGCAGCTAGTTTGTTATCACCTGCTGCTGCTTTTTTTTTTTTTCCCACCTGCTTCTAAAACCTCAATTTCTGGTTTATTCTTTTCCAGGAACATTAGCATTAGCAGGAAGGCCAGGAAATCCCTGTACAATTCAGGAACATTTCAGAGTGCACAAGAGCCTTCACATAGGGAATTCTATCAATTTTCCTTACTTTTTGCAAAATAAGTCTAGTTGTAAAATCGGATTTTAATTTAGACTACTGTTTTCAGACTAAATCTTCCCTCAGAAACATACCAAGGCAACATCATGTTACCAGAGAATAATAATCTCATTCTTAGGGTCTGGGGATCAAACTTGTTTCCGTTCTTAAGGATACAGCCCAGAGGTGTATTCAAAGGTATTGCATTGTTTTGTTTCCCATCTGGAAGAAAGCAGAGGAAATCATGTCAGAGATCCTGAGTATCCCTGTCCCTGTATGCATGCTACAGACTTTTGGAGAAGGTTTCCCTTCCTAAACCTGGGCTTCCTGAATTAATTAGTTTTTCACTATGTGAACTGTGCTCTCCCCACCACCTCATCCTTACTCAGGTGAATCCTAAACTCCTGGGGAATATCTTTCCTTCCTTGTTTCCAATCTGCTCTTCCCTTTGTTGGCACTTTTCCACACCCCACGCCACCCCCTGACCCCCAAACCACCAGGTGCTAAAAGGCCAGATTCAGAGGTTACAGAAATCAAAGGGAGCTTGCTGCCATCTGCTGGAGTGAAAACACTCCTTGTGTTTCTTGCATAGCTTCCAGGATTTATAAAAATTGTGACCCCAGTAAATAAAGACAATTCTCATAAGACCCACAAAGTCAAACTGCCTTGGCTCCATCTATCTCAGAGCTGTCAGGGCAAAGTAGCCTGACAGCCTACATATTTTTCATAATGGCCTGGCCAGTGTCTCTGCCAATTACCGAAGCAGAAAGCTGCATCCTTCTCCAGTGGAGCAGCTGGTGGTTTTGCCCTGCTGTCCTTGCGGTTCGCAGCCCAACGTGTGGCCCACTAAGCCACCAGGGCTCCTGGCCAATACTTAAAGAAAGAGACACCTTAAAGTATAGCTCCCTGCCACGTTCTGGAAATAAGAGCTTTTCATCAGACCTGAATATAGACTAAAGTATAACAGGCTTTTTCTAACTCAATTTAATAGCAGATTACTTGGAGATTTTGATTCTAAATATACACGTGTGTATGTGTATATACATATAATCTCATTAGTTTCTTATACTACCAAAAAGTTTGATTCCTAAGTACACACCAGTTATAAAATCAAAGTTGAGCTTTTAAATAAAGAATATATATATATATATATACATTTAATCTAGTTAACATTTAATGGTAAAAATTATACAGCGATACCTTCAAGCTCAAACTTTCCAGTACTTTAACAGCAAAGCTAAAAAAAATCTGCTCAGTGTTCATAACTTTGCTAAATAGGTGAACCAAAAATCCAACTTGAAAATACCTTTTATGACTGAGAGTGAGTAACCAATTGAACCTCACCATAGACCCACAGGGGGGGCGCTTCAGTCTGAGTGCCGCTCTCACTCAGACAACAGATAGTGCTTGTGGTGTTAATGCATTAAAACATGTGTCATTGTGCTTTTTTGTGTGTTTGCTTTATTTGAGTCAATTGTGGTAACCATGGCTCCAAAGAAAGAGTGATACTAGTTAATGGTATCAAGAGTTACAAGCAAAACGGAGAAGCACTGGAGTGAAACAAAGAATTCGCTGTGAAATGTGAATCAGGTTGCTGTTTGTCAGATTTGGTGGCTTAAGCAACTTGGCGAAGTGGATGTTCTCAATGTTTTGTGGCTGGGGTGTGTGGGGGATGTGTTTAAAGCACCTAATGTAACAAAGATGTGGAATTGTTGAGCATGAAACGAAGAGGTTGAAAGGCGACTATTAATTTGGATAATCAGAAACTCCTTAGATGGCGATCCGAGACAGTGATCTACGAGAAGGCTAGAAGCCTCTGTAGGGACTTAAAGTCCTTGAAATATGAATGTACAAGTGAAATTTGGGGGCCTCAGAACCAAGTATTTGACTTTTCAATATTTCTTACAGGAAAAATATGTTCAGTTCTTGAATTTTTCTCTTTTGAATATGAATTTGGAATGAATTGAGTTGAACAACTGGGGTATTTTATCAATTTTTTGAAAGCTTTGTTATACTAATTAAAAATGAAGTGTGCACTCTTTAAAAGAAGTGTCCCCCAAAATAAATAAATAAGGAGTGTCCCAATAAAATTAGGAAACACAGTTTGTTGACCAAAGCCTAATATAATATTTCCAGTCAGAAGAGATCTTCCAAATGAGGCCCACCTCCCCTACAATGGGCCGACATGTAGCCCCCACCTTGGGTGAGAATGGACCCAGGCGTTAGCTCCTACTGAATACACTCCCTGTGAGCCTTGCGTAACCAATGAGTGGTTCCTTATTGAGCTGCTCCCGCATCAGCGCTTTGGAACCACCTGCCTCTCTAAGGGAGAAAGATGCTGCTTTCTACACCCCTAAAGATTTCGAGTTTGGGAAACCTACAGGCGCAGTTCTCCCCTGTCTTATAGGGTAACCATGAGTCAGAAATGACGCAATGTCTGTGAGTCTGGTTTGGGGGTTAGTATTCAGGTGACAGCAGACTCTTGTGTAGCTTCCAGGTGGTTGCCATTTGGGGTGAAAGCAGAAGCACTTGTTTCTGAAATTAAACAGATCATAGTCCCCACCTGTTTGTCTCTATATCTAAAGATACAGTACACTAATTTTTTTTAACACTCACATTCCATGTTCTCTTCTTTACCTTAGACTCACAACATTCTCAATATACTGCAAAAGAGCGATCACACAAGGCTAAGTTAGAACAAGCTCAAGGACAATAAAACCTGGTTTTCAAGGGCAAAACAGAGAGACAATGAAGAAAGCCAACCTCACAGACACAAAGAAAACCCTTTAATCCTAACTGGACCTTATAGGGGTCTGCCAGGGAAAGATGCCAAATCTCAGAAAGACACCCCCCCCTTCCGCTTTTAGACAGCAGAGGTATGCCCTGCCTTTTATTGGACCTTATAGAAGCTTTAATTTAGTACCACACAAGACAATAGACAGACAGAAACAAAACCAAAAGGGAAAGGAGAAAAAGAGAAGTAAATTTCTCCAGTGAAGGTTCTCTCACACCTGGGAGCCAGCGGGATGCTCATGCGAGGCAGCTAAAGACACAGAATGCAAAGAGTTCTGGTGGACACCATCCTTGGGCGTGGGTAAGACTCTTGTCTGATCTCATCGTGGTAGAACATACTCTTCATTTTCTAGCATCGCCTTTTTGTCCTGTGTCTGCTCACCACACGTGAATCAGGTTCTTGTCATTGTCTAGAGAAAGATTAACTCTGGCTGGACACACAGGCAACACTGGAGAATTTGATGAGAACCTCCTAGAAAGGAGTAGCCATATAATTGGTACCAACAAAGCATCAGCTTTCTCACCCACATTTGTAAGCTGTGTATTTTTAAGAGTTTCCACAGAAGAACGTCTCAGAAGTGTAGTCAGATAGACTCTGTTCCTACTAGATGACATCAGATAGCAAGGGGTTCTGGGGACTGTAGTCCCCAGGGTGAAGTGCCATTCTTATGATGATACCAGTTCTGTATGAAATAGCTTAAAGATGTCTTTAAGAGAGAGGGTCTATATAACAGATCCAGTCTTGTCTGTGACTCTGGTCCAGGTCTCTACTTTTTCTCGCTGGCTGGTCTCATATATATTCTGTCATAAAGAGATAGGGCCATGCTATAAAGCCCATAGGCTCATGAGATATTATGCTACTTCAGCAGCAGGCTGGCTGCTGAAGTACAGAGAGTACAGAGAGATGGGAAATTAATTTAAGTACAGAAAGTACAGAGAGATGGGAAGTTAATTTAAGTACAGAAAGTACAGAGAGATGGGAAGTTAATTTAAGTACAGAAAGTACAGAGAGATGGGAAGTTAATTTAAGTTACAAGCCATACTATTAATAAACTCAAAAACCAAACTTAAAGTCATCGAGTCAGTTCCTGCTGATAGTGACCCTTTAAGACAGGTTAGATCTGCCCCTGTGAGTTTCCAAGACTGTATCTCTCTATAGGAGTAGAAAGCCTCATCTTTGAACTATTTGATCTGCTCCAATTCCAACTATTGACCTTGAGGTTAGCAGCCCAACATGTAAATCACTATATACCACCAGGGCTCCAGATACGGTGAACAGCAGTATTAAAATTCAAATTTAATAAACAGATGATAGGGTTTAGTTCATTCTAGCATCAATATGTCAGGTGATCTATGCTTTAAATAGGCTCCTGGTGGTGCAAATAGGTAACAGACCCAATTGCTAACCAAAAAGATGCATATTCACGTTCACCCAGAGGTTCCTCAGAAGAAAGGCAAAATGAGCTACTAGTGAACAGTAGCCATGGAAATCACATGGAAGGCAGCATTTGGTAGATTTAATCCCAGTTCTAAGGTAACCTAATGACTTTAGCAACAAATTATAGCACATAAGGGTGAGTACTGAGGCAAAGGTCCATCAAGAAGTTTGAGAGAGAAAAGGGGAGAAGCAGATGATAAGGGGCAATTCCAAAGAATACATAACCCCAACGGGCCAATGGGAAGTCCCATCCAAAGAGTTTGAGTGCTCACGATTCAGTCCTGGTACACAAGAATACAGGAATTGTGCAGTGAGATGAGTTCCATTCTCCCTCCTCCCAAAGCAATAAACTTTTAATTGCCTTTTGATTGGCACAGCTGGTTCTATGTATTCTATCTTTATCATTTCTCTAGATCAAAATCCAAATCTAATTATATGAAGTAAGAGCTGTGTATGTTACATAGTTTTTTCCTTAACGAGAGCTCTAAATACTTCTGCCTTTAATCCATTTCTTCATAATTAAACGTTGCCAGTGGCAAGGAAAAAAGGTTAATGATGTGCTTTCTCGAAAGCCCTTGATCCAAGGATTAACCTCTTAGCTGCTTCTAGTACAATTTTAGAGTACACCATGGGAGGTTGGGGATATTTAACGTTAAAATACATTGCTGGGATTTATAGGGTTCAGTAGATACCAGGAGCTGATAAATATTTATGGGCTTACAAGTATAAATGGCAGTTTTGTCTTTTGAAAGATGTCTTCATAGAATCCCACATCATGTATGTGTTAGCATTAAGAAATGATCACAGCTGAAGTCAAAAAGGTTTCTGTGGGCCACTGAGGCTGCTCTAGGAAGCAAAGCTAGTCCTGTGGATTGGCCTGTGTTTCTGTTGCAGGAAGAGGAGACCAAGGAAGAGGATGAAACCTTGGCTTGTAGCCCTGTCCAAATCACAGCCGAGAGACGGCGAAGCCTGTGGTATGCCACCCATTACCCAACCGATGAACGAAAAGTAAGACATTAAGGAAAGAATTTCCTTTGAATAATTTATTTTTCAATATACTGAGATTCATAATAGGTTATTTGGTATTAAGTCAGTCATTCAGACAGACTCCAGTAGTCAGATAATATCATGTAGCCTCAGTTAGTTTGGACCAGAGAGATTGATTCAGAAAGGAGAACCCAATATCCTAGGGGAAATGCTGTGGTTGCATGGCCTCTTTTTTTTAATTTTTTTTTTAAACATTTTATTAGGGGCTCATACAACTGTTATCCCAATGCATGGCCTCTTATGAGAACACATTTTTATATTTCAGTCTTGTCTACTCTATCCTCTTAATTCTTGAAAAGAAACCGTTTCCTCATTTGCAAACAAAAAGCTTGTCCCTGAAACAAGAGCAACAACAAGAACGATAGCTTGAAGCACTGTGTTGTGAATGCATCAATGTTTAAATACAGTGCAGAAAATAATTTCACTCTGTCCAGCCATAATACTTTAAGTTACTACTACAGAAGATCAAAGCAGTCTATGTGATTGTGATTAAATATATCTCATCACTTTGAAACAGCAGTGTATATTGACAAGAAAAAGTTAGTCATAATTGGGTAATTCATATACCCTGTTGCTTATTTATTGCCCATTTTGAATTCAGATCTGTCATGCTAGGTTGGTTTGTTAAAATTTCCTGCTTGTTATTTTGTAAAGACAAACACAATTCTTGCAGGGGCTTAGCATTTTGCTTCCCAGTGTGTTAGAAAGCGTTTGAGGAGAGTCTCTGATTTATTTGAAGGCAGGTGAATGCCTTTAAGGAAAACACTTTAATTTTAAACCAGACTCTCCTGTGCTGAGGAAAGGGAGACCAGTGAGCAAGCTATGTAATGGAGCTGGCAGAGATGTGGGGCACCGAGAGTCGCCTAAGGGAGCGAAGGGATCCAAGGTTTCTCTTCTCTCTTGTCTCACCATGTGTCAGATTTTCTGATCTAAAAAACAGATCTGGTTTGAGATTAGCACAGCAGTTTTAATGCATTTTAGCTGGACTTGCAGGGGTTCATGAAATCCTTGCATAGATCCACAATGCAAAAGCTATTCTCATAATAATACTAAGATGATGCTTATCATTTTCTACTTTATTGACATTTGCTCTGATAGAACAAAGGCAACGGTGGGTAAAATTACTGTTGTTGTTGTTGTTGTTATTGTTGTTCAGTGCCATTGAGTCAGTTCTGACCCATAGAGATTCCATGCAAAACCAAACAAAACATCGCACGGCCCTGTACCATCCTCACAGGTCTGAGCCCATTGTGGCAGCCACATGTCAATGCATCTCATTAAATGCCTTCCTCCTTCTCACTGCCCTTCGTGTTACCGCGGATGATGTCTTCTCCAGGGACTGGTCTCTCCTGACAGTGTGTCCAAAGTATGTAACAAGATGAAGTCTAGCCACCCTTGCCTCTAAGGAGAACTTGACCTGACTTCTTCCAACACAAATTGGTTTGCCCTTTTAGCTGTCCATGACTTTTCCAACGTTCTTCTCCAGCACCACAATTCAAATGCATCGATTCTTCTTCAGTCTTCCTTATTCACTGTCCACCTTTCACATGCAGATGAGGCAATCAAAAATACCATGACCTGAGTCAGGCTCACCTGAGTCCTCAACGTCCATGCTTTCCAATACTCTAGAAAAGGTCTGGAACATCAGATTTACCTAATGTTACACGTTTTTTATCTATTGGCTGCTGCTTCCATGAACTTTGATTTTTGGAGCGAAGCAAGACAAAATCCTGGACAACTTTTACCTTTTCTCCATTTATCATGCATGATATTCCATTGTGGCCCAGTTGTAAGGATTTGGGTATCTTTTACAGTGAGTTGCAATCCATACTGAAGGCTGCAGCCCTCGATCATCATTAGCAAGTGCCTCAACTCTTCTTCACCTACAGCAAGCAAGCTTGTGTGATCTACATGTTACACAATGTTAATAAGCCTTTTTCCAATCCTGATGCCACATTCTTCGTCATATAAGCCAGTTTCTCTGATGATTTGCTGAGATACAGATTTAATAAGTATAGATTGTACCTATACAGATTGAATAAGTACAGTAAAAGGATACAGCCCTGACACACTTTTCCTAATGTTAAACCATGCATGCAATAGATAGACTCTTTTTCTATTCCCACAACTGCCTCTTGATCCATGTACAAGTTACACATGAGCACAATGCAGTGTTCTGGAATTTCCACTCTTCCCAAGCTTATTCATAGTTTATTATGGTCCACACAGTCAACTCCCTTGGCATAGTCAATAAAACACAGTAAGCACTTTTCTGGTATTCTCTGCTTTGAAACAAGATCCATCTGACATTAGCAATGACATCCCATGTTCCATGTCCTCTTCAGAACTTGACTCAACCTCTGACAATGCCCTGTCAGAGTACTGCTACAACTATTGTTGGATGATCTTCAGAAAAATTTTAGTTGCATGTTATATCAATGATAATATTCTATAGCTTGAGCATTCTGTTGGGTTACCTTTCTATGGAATGGACACAAATCTGTATCTCTTCCACTTAGTTGGGCTAATAGCTAGCTTCCTAATTTCCTAGCATAGACCCGTGAGTGCTTCCAGTGTTTCATCAGCTTGTGGGAACATTTCAACGGGTATTTCATCAATCCCTGGAATCTCATTTTTAGCTAAAACTTTTAGTGCAGTTTGAACTTGTTCCTTCAGGACCATTGGTTCTTGCACATAATACTTCCTCCAGAAATGGTGGATTGTCAATGTGTTAGTCTGGGTAGACTAGAGAAACAAATCCACAGAAACTCGTGTGTATAAGAGAGAGTTTTATATAAAGGGTGAGTGTATATTAATAAACCCAGTCCAGTCCAAGCTCATAAGTCCAACTTTAACCCATATGTCCAACACTCATCTACAAAGTTCTCCTCCATCTCACACAACACATCCAATGATGCCGACTACAGGAGGACTTTGAATCCAGTGGAGGTGTAAGCTTCTCAGTGCTGGCAGGGGTCTCCACATGGCTTCTCCAGCACCCAGGGCTGCATCAGGGTAGGTCCATGTGGTTTCTCCTCAGGGATGTCTCACAAGAAGTGAGCCTTGCAAGCTGAGGCAGAGAACTAGCCAAGGCAGCCACACACTGGTCCGACCATCAGAGAGCAAGAGACCAGAGAACCAGAAGGGCGAGGCTCACCAAACCATTAATCTCTCTGCCTTTCAATTAAACTCCCCTTCAATTAACCCCATATGTGTTTATTGGCCAGCTTGACACAATAAACCTTAAGTAACACAGTTGACTAGTTCTTTTTTGGTATAGTATATTCTTTCCATTTTCTCTTGATGCTTCCTGCATCATCCAGTATTTTGCCCATATAGCTTTCAAGATTGCCAGGCGAGGCTTGAATTTTTTCTTCAGTTCTTTCAGTTTAAGGTATGCTAAGCCTGATTTCTTTTGATTTTCTAATTCTTGGTCTTTACACATTTCATTATAATATTTGGTTCTGTCTTGCCTTTGAAATTTTCTTTTCAGCACTTTAACTTCATCCTTTCTTCCATGTGCTTTAGTTCCTCTATGTTTAAAACCAAGTTTGAGAGTCTCTTCTGACAGCCACGTTGAGCCTTTCTTTCTTTCTTTCATCTTTTTAATGGTCTTTTGCTGTGTTCATGAATGATGGTCTTAACAACCTCCTACGGCTCATCAGGTCTTCTGTCATTAGTGTTCAATGCAACAAATCCGTTCTTGAGATGTTCTCAAAATTCAAATGGGATGGATTCGGTTGTGTTTGGGCTCTCATGAACTTGTTTTAATTTTCTTCAGCTTTATCTCGAACCTTCATATGAGAAATTGGTGGTCTGTTCCACTCAGGCCCTGGCCTGATTTTAACTGCTGATATTGAGCTTCTCCATTATCTCTTCACATAGATGTAGTCAATTTGATTTCTGTGTCCATGTTGCCTTTTGTGTTGTTGAAAGAAGTATTTGCTATGAATAAGTCATTGGTCTTGCAGATTTCTATCATTTGATCTCCAGATGCATGTCTGTCACCAGGTCCATATGTTCCTTCCTCTTTGTTTCCAACTTTTGCATTTCAATTGCCAATAATTATCAATGTATCTTGATCACATTTTTGATCATTTTCTTACTGAAGACATGGTAGAATTCTTCAATTTCTTCATCATTAGTTTTGTGATTGGTGAATATGTTTGAATATTAGTTGTACTGATTAGATTTCCTTGAAGATGGATAGATATAATCCAATCACAGAAAACATTGTGCTTCAAGATTGATTTTACAATGTCCCTTCTGACAATGAATGCCAGATCATTCTTCTTGATTGTGTTATTCCCAGCAGGGTAAATCACATGACTTTCTGATTAAAAATGGTCAATACTGGTCTATTTCCAATCATTAATGCCCAGGATATTGAACTTTATACATTTAATCTTTGACTACTTCCAATTTTCCTAGATTTATATTTTTCACATGCCAAGTTACGACCATTGGCAGCATTTTTTTTAAAACAGTGTCTCCTTACCTTGACTGGTGTCCCATCAGCAAACAAAGAACCCAAAGGCTCCACTCTTACAGACATTATTTGACTCATGTCACCATGCTCATCCCAAGTCCCACTTCAAGTGCCCTCCTCCCTGAGGGGCCCATCCTCTAGCACTATCTCAGAAGAAGTTCTGTTTCCATTCATGAGACCTCCAGTATCTAAGATTGTTTTGAAGCTATGCTACTTCCTTTCGAACAAGGAGCCAATTATGTCTTTGTTGTCTATTCGTAGTCTGCAAGCTCTCCTGAAACCATCCACTTTGGGTGCCCTGCTGGCATTTAAAATACCAGTGACCTAGCTTCCAGCGTCACAACAACACACAAGCCACCACAATAGACAAACTGAGAGATAAGGGTGAAAATTAGTGAAACCATAGCACAAATCAAGAAAGTGGCTCCAAATTGTATTAGAAGCTATATTATTCATGGATTTGCACATGCAAGAAAAAGCAAATAAGCAAAAGCCACCATCACTCAATTTCTTTGATGAGCCATAAATAATTTTTAATTTAGCATTCTACCCTAACAGTCCATATGCTTTTAATATTCTGTGTGATGAAATGGAAAGTATACATAAAGTTCTTCTCACTGACGTTAGACTGACTCCGTGAAAAGTACCCGATCGCAGTGAAAAGTAGCCGAACTAAGGTATTTTAGTTTCAGACTGCACATTGCCAGTGACTTTAAGGAAACTACCCAGAGTTTGCATGTAATAGCAAAGAAAACTGTTTACAATGATTTGACGAGGCTATTAAAATACCCCTTCCTTTTCTAGCTGCATATCTTGGTGAAGCAATATTTTGTTCATCTACTTTATCCAAAACATCTCATAAAAGACTGAATGGAAAAACAGACACAGAAATTCACCTGCTCACTCATTAGCCAGAGATTAAAGAAAGTTGTTATACTCTTTTCATTATTTTTAATTGCATACATGTATTTAAGTAATGGGTTATTATTATATATAATTTATGTAATATGTTATAATGTATGCAATGGGTTATTGTTATGATAAATATACTAATATATTAAACATGTTTATTGATTTCTAGTGTGGTAAATATTGACAGATACAACCCACATTAACAAAATCGCTTTGGCAACCTCAGTGATTTTGCAGAATGTAAAGTTGTCATGAGACCCCAAAGTTGGAGAGCTATTAGCCTAGTAAATGCTTATTATTTGGGGAACAAGGATATCAAACCCCCCAGCACTAGCATAATTACATAGCATAGACATCATTTTGCTGCAGTTTGGATATATTAAAAATAACCTCAGTTTCACTGCAAATGAATTTCTTTGATGATGAAACTTTATTTCTTGGAAAGTGAGTATTTTCAAATTTCTGCAAATGTTTCAAAAGCCTCTAGGAGCATAAAACCAAGTATCTTATTCTATTAAAACCCAAACAATGGATTGTTGTTATATGAGCTGTAGGGGCCCCAGTAAAATGATCTTTTAATAGTAATTTTAAAAAGCAATTAAAAATATCTTTTGTAGCCATGTGGTATATGACTTCTAATTTCCTTTTATTATTAAAACTAAAAATCAGAAGCTGAGTAATGGTTATAATAAATGGCAGCATATTATATTCAATTTACTTATTTGTCCCTTCTTATTTTCCTAAAAAATGGCAATTTTTATCATGCTAGCACAGCCAGTTTAAGAGACTGGGTGTGTATATAGTAAAACCTTATAGATGTAAGTAAACATTGTAATACTTTTGGCTGATGTTAACATATTATCCTGCATTGCTTTTTTGCAGCTTTTATCCATGACCCAAGATGACTACAAACCGTCTGATGTTAGTATATCATTAGAATTATCATTTATGCTTGTGTCTCTTGTATAAAAGTGGCAGAAGTAGAAATAACTCTTTTGTGTATGTTTTATTGATCTGTATTATTTCATAAGTTTTAAAATTATTTGCAGGAATTATGTCCACTTTGTTGTTGTTAAAATATGAATTAATTTCATCTTAGATTGTACATAACCATAAAAAAATCTAAAAACTTTTCCGAAGTCACAGTGGTGGTTTTGTAAGGCTTCTTTTCCCTTTTATTTGCACTGCAGATGTGAGTAGCACATGATTTGAATAAAACGTCCTGCATGTCCATGGACCCCATGAAAAGATCATGAAAATTGGCCACAGATTTTAAGCACATATATGTATATATAATAAACAAATCCATATATATATGTAAATACATAAATGTATTTATTTATATGTGTATCTTAACATTGAAAAGTCAAATCAAAGAGACAGGGACAAATATGGGACATTGTACTTTAAGATCCTAAAGGCTGCAATAAGTGAATCAACCTTGCAGGGCCAGGCAGATGCCCCTAAAAGAACTCAAGAATTGCTGCATTTTCCTTGTGTATAGCAGATGTGTGTGGACATGGAAGGGTTGGGCTAGAGAAGGACTGGACTTCCACACAGCCTAAAGGACAAGTTGAAAGAGTGGCAAGGGCCTTGGCCCACCTTCAAAGGTGTTAGCACTTTGCCTTGAGGGAAGCATGCTTTCAGTAAATGTGTGAAAGTTCAGATTGACATCACATGCTTTGCTCTGTGGAGCACAGTGGTAGAGAGAGTGTGCACTACAGTGTTGTAAAATATTTGGGTAATAGATTGAGATGCCAAAATTATGTCGATGGACAGACACACTGTTGAGTTATGAGGAAAGCACTAGAGGGAGGGGTAGATCTGCACTGAGACCAGAGCTACTGTCACAGGTGTGTTTTGCTTGACTCCTAGCAGGGCCTGGTCAATGGGAAGCCAGTGGACTACCATGCCATTAACCCACAACTCCCAAGAGAAAACGGCCCAGGCAAGACTGATGTGTATGCCCTGCCACAGTACCACTGGGAAACCTCTGCCCAGGCCTCAGGTACCAAGCAGTTTGGGTGCTGTATACTCCTAAGTGCACCTTTGAGCCTTAGCATCACTCTAGGTTCATGCTTGCTTTTTGTTTGAATGATTTTATTCTTTTATTTCATTTTTAAAAGTATGTTGTCTTCCATGGTCACTATAATTTAAATTAGCTATTTGTTCTGCTTATATTTTGCTGTACCATATTGCTATCTGTAGTCTATCCTTTTAGATGAAGTAAGTAGCATTATTAGAGCAAACTGAAATAAAAGGTCAAAAATATTTAAGCTCATCAAATTACTTCTAGTGTTAAATCTATGTGTGTGTGTGTGTGTGTGTGTGTGTGTGTGTGTGTGTTCCAGGAAGGCACACTCTTAACAGCAATAACGAAGTAGTGTCCTAGTCAAACACAACAACTGATTACTTAGTGTTTGACACTTTCTTCTCACGGTGTTAGATGTTTCCTAGTCTGGTATGTGTATGACATTTAATTTTAAACCCTTAGACTTGATTGTTGTCCTGCCCACATTTTTAAAAATATAAATAGTAGGCAATATTCAAAAAGCTCTCTCCTAGAAATGGAAATTTTTGGAATTTCCTAAAGAATATGAATATCTGGCAACGTTAGTCCCTCATGTCTACAAGGCAGTCATTGCTCAACTTCTGTTATGAACTAGAAAGCCAAAGAAAACCACCAATTCATAAATACAGAATTCTCACTGCTACAAGTCTATTCCAACTCATACTCTATAGGAGAGGGTAGAACAGCCCGTGGATTTCTGAGTCGGTAACTCTTGTAGCAGTAAAAGGAGAGTCTTTCTTCTGCAAAGCAGCTGGTGGTTTTGAACTGCTGGCCTTGTAGTTAGAAACCTAATGCTTAACCACTACAACACAGGGGCTCCTCTCAATACAAAATTAGCTAAGTGGGGGCTTCCAGGAAGATGGCGACGGAGTAAAACATACCAGAGGGACTCCGCAGAAGTCAGCCCAGGAGAATTGCTTAAAGGGAAATTCAACATCATAAAGATGAGTAGGCACAGACCCACAAGGTTTTGAGGGGCTGAGGCCTTCTGGCTTACGACAGTGGAGGTTGGCTAGGGCTTGACCTTAGTCCCGCCACTGTCTATGCTGGAGCCAGGACCATTTGGAGCCCACACCCCAGGACTTAATCTCAACATAGCCACAGCTTGCTGACCCCTCAGGGCAGGGACTAAACCCTTGCAGCCCCATAGGCAGGGATCCGGGTTCAGCTACATTTTTACTTTTGTTTCCCTCTCTTCTCTCTATTCCCTCACATTCTCAGAGAGCTGCGCAGGGGCTTTTTCTTAACACAGCCACAGTTTTCCAGACACCACGTAAGGGCAGGGACTAAACTCTTGCAGCTCCATAGGCAGGGATTGGGGCTCAGCTACATTGTTATTTTTGTTTCCCACTCTTCTCTATATCGCTGCACAGTCTTAGTGGGCTTACTCTTTTTTCTTCTTCTTCTCTTTGTCTCTTTCCTGCTCTCTCACACTCCACTACTGACCTCCAGACCGCTCCCCTTAGCATAGGGCAATTATTCCTTGGCCACACCCAGCTATGTGAGCTCCACCATGTGCGGCTAGCCTGAGGCTAGGGAAAGCCCTGCCCACCTCCACTAGGGGATACTCTACCCAACTTCTTACCAGGGAATTCCTGTCTGTGTTCCTTGGGGCCTAAGGCAGCTCAGCCAATACTCATCAACATTCCAAGCTGCTGCAGGACCCTCTGGTCAACCCCTGCAACACCAAAGCAGGCAACCACCACCCTTCTGGGGCACTCCCCTGAGAGGAAAGCCACAGGAGGATAAAGTGGTAGGTTAATTCCATAGTGAAATTAGCTGTAGACGGTTCAATGAAGCATTCCTACAAGTCTCCCAGAGAGAGCCAATGCTCTTCGACTCCCTGGAAAATGGCACCTGGCTCCTCTAAAACAACGCAACACAAACATCCATCAGCCCCAATAACCTCAACGAAAAAACAAAAGAAACAAAAGGCAATGGCAGAAGATGTCCTGAACATAATGTACATGCATAGAAGAAGCAGACATTGAGCTGCCACAGGAAGGAAATGCTGCTTTTAGTCATACAGGATATGAGGGAAACAATACAGAAAAAGAGTGAAATGATAGAGATAAAGGCCATACACCAAAGGGAAGTATAGGAGATTAGGGAGGAGATAATAAAAACCAGTAGCAGAAACACGGACCTCGAGAATCGACTGGAGGAGGCAGAGAACTGCATCAGTGATTTGGAGGACAGCCAAGCAGACTTTAACAAACGCAAACAAAAATCTAATAATATCATCAGAGAAGCTGAAGAAAACCTAAGAGCTATGTCTGATGCTATGAAACAGAAGAACATTAGAATTATTGGCTTACCAGAGGAAGATACAACAAAGAAGTCATCTGCAACAATAGTGAGAGAATTCTGGGAGGAAAACGTCCCCAGCGTAGGAAAACATCCCCAGTGTAAAGAATGAAAACCAGGCAACCATTCAGGTGGCTGAAAGAACGCCAGCTAGACTGAATCCCAAGAAGAAGTCCCAAGGCACATAATAGTTAAACTATCCAACTTCGATGAAAAGAAGAAAATCATGAGAGCAGCTAGGGAAAAACAAACAATATCATATAAATGTTCTCAGATAAGAATATGCTCAGACCTATCAGCAGAAACTATAAAGAAGAGAGAGTGGAGTAACATGTTCCAAAACTTGAAGGAAAACAATGCAAACCCAAGAATACTCTACCCAGCCAAATTATCAATCAAGATTCTATGGAGAAACAAGAGTCTTCAGAGACAAGGAAAAACTCAAAGAATATGTCAGAAGAAACCTAGCCCTACAAAAGAACCTTGCCAACCTAATATGGGCAGAAAACAACACTCACCAAGCATAAATAAGAAACCGCCACATAGAACAACTCACCCAGAGGGCAACAAAGACAAAGCAGACTCCAAGATAGCATTGGCTTAAGGATGGAAAGAAGTCAAGAATGATACACACACACACACACACACACACACACACACAACACCCTAATGAGAAAGGAAGGTAGGAAAACAGCCAACACAAAAGGTATAAGATGACATCACAGCATCTGCAGATGGAGATAATAACCCTGAATATCAATGGCTGGAACTCGGGCATTAAAAGACTGAGACTAGCAGACTGGCGTAGAAAATACAATCCATCAATCTGCTGCCTACAGGAGACACATCTCAAGGCTACAGACAAAAATAGTCTGAGAATCAATGGCTGGAGAAAGGCATACCAAGCAAATAGCAATTCAAAAAAAAGCAGGGGTTGCAATCCTAATCTCAGATAAAATTGGCCTCAAAGTGCAAACCATAAAAAGAGATAAGGAGGGACACTATATAATGCTCAAGGGAATGGTAGACAAAGAACCACTAAGC